TGCATTTCTAGGTGCAAACAAGTCTCCAAAAGAATTTTTTTACTTCAGTTTCATTCCTAAATTTTTATCTAATTAAAAAGTGGTCAGTGGAGTGTGATATTGAATCTATGGTTCATTGTAGTACACAGTGTGTCATTTAACAGTGAAACAATTGGCGAATTACTGATCGTATTGCTATTGGCTAATTTCAAACTTTAAATTAATGCACGATGAACCCTTCAACACTTGTCAAATCAGCAATTTCATATGCAACAACGTAGTAGATTATCCATTTGTCTTTAGAATTACGCAAACGTGGACATCCATCTCCGAAGAATCACATTGTCGAAATTTTAGAAGGATATACCTTTTCATCCGTATGACAATACACCCCCGAAAACTTCCACGCGACGTTTAAAGTCCTTGCAGCCCTTCACATTTTCCACCGAGAGAAATATATTCCCGCGGCGTGATCCTGTTCTCCTTTATGGAGAATATTCCCAACAATGATCCTCGGCCATTATGAACGATCCTCTCCGTAGCAGTAGTCGTCGCCCGAATCGTTTTCCAGCGGACGTTAAAGTCTCGAAGATTGAGCCCCTTTGATCCCTCGGTGCGCACAGTTTGCAGCAGTGTGTCTTTCCAAGCGAACGAAGAACAATGTTACCAGCAATAACAAGAAGCCGTTATTGCACTGGAGATTTCGCGGAATTGCGACCACCACATCCAGTAAACTCATACTTTGCCCGATGGCCATCCGCAGACGTTGGAAACTGTACGTCTGGGAGAGACCATGGCTGACTCCGACGTTCACGGATTCACCTCGACTAATTGTTTCTTACGTGACAGTAGTCGATAACTTTCGTATACCCGCGTCGAGAAAGTAATTGTTTGCTTTACTGGTCTCCTACCAGATCCTTCTAGCCTCTTTTCTCTCGTTTTATAGCTGTTGAAAGTCGATTATTCCAGAGACTACGGTGATATTAGATGATCTAGAGCTTGTTTTTTCTCTCCATGGGAGAGAGATTCGAAGGATAACGCTATACTCGTGGAATAATCGTGGACCTCGAACAGATAAGTCCGAGTTCGAAGGATATTGCACACTTCCAAGAAAAACTTTGTTCTCCTGAGTATTCCAAGAATGAGTAGGTACTTGGTTTTATGTGCCTTCAGTGACGATAAATTCGAGGAAGGATTTCAGATTGACTTTGTCTCTGGTAAACGACACGTATCATATTTCAACGTATCCTTCAGAAAGAGGAATCTCCCGGTATCACTTCCCGATAAAAATAATTCTCCAAAAAAGAATGTGTATATCCAAGAATAATAATTTTCTCCGATATCATCTGATTAATTCAATTTTTCTTCAACACGCGAATCGTTAAATAAAGCAATTTTTTCCCATTTTTATTTCCATGCAAATTTCACGCACACTTTCTCCCATTTAATACTTTCACCCCGCGTATCCTGCATATGTCTCGTGTCTCCTTCGCTTTGAATTCTCAACGGGCCCTCGAGCCCGGGACCGTTTCTACTATGCTGCTGCATCGCTATATTATAGGAAACGCATATCTGAAGCCATTCACGCACGAAAGGTCGTTGTCTCGGGCCAACGCGCATACAACATTTTCCCATCCTCCTTTCCACCCCCCATTTTCTTCGTCTCGAGCCACCCCTTCAGCTTCCATTCCCGGAGATTACGTCAGACCTCAGTCTCGTCTGGCAACATGCGTAAAGATGTCCTTTCTCGCGACTCCGAGCCAGCCACGCTCGCACCTCTTCTTAGAACTCCCTTGCCAAGCCTAATCGCGCGGAAATATACAGTAGAAGAACAATTTGGTCCAGCCATTGAATCAGTTTTATGGGTTTAAAGATGAACGGCAGGGAAACGTTTAAAGTAACGAGATTACACTTGCGGTCGATGAGAGTTATCAGTAGCTGCTGCATCCATAAACTTCGTGATCTTCTGCTTCGCGTAACAATGCAGAGAAGTGAAAGAAATAGTAATTTTCTGGTTTGTATTAAATTATCAAAGGGGTGATTATTTTTGTTTTTCAGTGAAATTGTAGGAGGAATATTATTTAATTTTTTATATGAAAATCGTTAGAATATGAATTCGTACCTTTATTTTTTATTGCATTTTTCAGCCACCTACGAATTTAACTGAATTGTTGCTGTTCAATTTGTGCATTGGGATAATGTGTAAAATGCTTGAACAACAACTGGCATTTTAATTTTATCGACATTTCGATATTCACGGGAAAATTCCTTTTGTTACACGCACCGCGTGTTATCGTTATTAAATTATGATAGTTCATCTGTTCTATGATATTCATAGAAAATTATAAATATTCAAATTTCGATTGCCATGATGCGTGAAATTTTGTTTAGTTCGTAGTTCATCTGTTCTACGATATTCATAGAAAATTATAAATATTCAAATTTCATTGTCGATAGCGTGAAATTTTGTTCAGTTTGTCACATATAAATTCAACAGTTGATCAGTTCCACGATATTCGTAAAAAATTATAAATATTCAAATTTCAATGCTGTAACGGGGCGAATAATCTATGGCGTGAAATTTTGTACAGTTTCGCCGTATATCTTCGGTGTTCTCGATTTTTCTTATCATCAATATCATCCCCTTGGTGCACCCGGGCATCCGCATAACAAGATAAACGACGCCGATTTCTTCCTCTTGGTTGAAGGGACTAATTCAATTTGGAAGGGTAATACCTGGAAAGCGTCAGAGGCATTATCGCATTTTTCTTCACGACTGAAAATTCACTACGATGTAAGACGACCGAGTGAACGAAGACTGAAATGAGAACAGCGATGGCGGAAAATGGAAAGAGGTCAAATTGGCTCTCAATCTTCAAGGCCGTGGATGGATAGATATTCTACCTGCTACCAGAATAGATTTTTCTTTTTTATACATGTTTAGAAATACTCTTTTGTGTACTCTCGGCGAAGTGTTTAAATTTTCCTCTAGGAATTTCATATCCTTCGTGTATTTCCTTTTTTTTACGAGCGTTACGCAGCACGAAGATTTAAGAAGGTAGTAAATATTTGAAATAGTTGGCGACGAAAGAGGGATTCTTTCGCAGTTAATTAACGAAATATCGTTCGTTGTAATTCCTTCAGATCCATGCAGGAATTTCATTATTTTAAATGTATTATAAAATTGTGCATTGTGAACGGAAGAATTGTACGGAGGATATTTAATTTTTCATCTGATATTCCCGTTAAACCGAATTAATTTTTCGGCGTAATTAAACGTATGCCCGGCACAGGTAGTAATTAATGAAGTTTGCAATAAAATTTTTCCACGGTCGGCGCATCTCGAATAGCTGACGACGTGAAAGCATATAAAACCGGCGAAGAAATGAGGAAGAACAAAATTGAGTTTCGGCTTTGAAAGCTTCATTTGCATTTTTATTATTTTCATCGATTAATACGCGGAATAACTTTCATTTAGGAGAGGCTAATTCGCAGAAAGGAAGGATCGGAAGCCGGAACTTCATTACTCTAATCGAACTTGATTAAA